TCTGCTTTGAGCTGCTTTTCACTATACACAGGAAATCCGTTCATGCATCAAATTCCATTTAAAAACCCCATACAGACCCTCTTTTCTAAAAGTATAGACTTTCGTGCTGTGAGGAAAAAGGGAATAGAGGTGAGGTGTCATGCAGTGTCATTTCTGGGAAACTGTAATATATATATATTATATATATATATATATATATATATATATATATATAGTTTCATCACTTCAGCATGTAAATCTAACAGTCATTGTGATTAGTAGGCACATTTTATATCAGAAACATGCATATGTAGGGAAGTTGCTTGTGTTATAATGAATAAAACTAACAAAAGGAATAGGAACAAATATATATATATATAAATGTTTCGGAAGCACAGAGTGTGTCCCGCAGGAACTATCATGTTTCATTTCATATTGACGTCAATGCTACAACAGCTTTGCAATTGAGCTGCTTTACCAGTCTCAGCTCTTATGTCGTAATGTACACAGCATCCAATATGCAGTTTAGGAGAACAATGTAAAATAGATTTAAACCCTTTGGCAAAGTGTCCCCTGCAGCCCTTTCTAACTATAGTTTGTATAATCATATGCACTGCTATCAGACCCTTCAGACATCTGCTGTTCTCCTAATAAGATCCTCAGATGCATTTGAAAGTTAGCATTGGCAGGAGATTTTTCTCTGGAAACATGACGTGAGTACAAAGAAATCACAGTGATCTCTGAACTAGTTTTATTACAGTGGTTCTCAACCTTTTTGACTCCAAAATCTAAGCAAGATTTTTCACTATACGATTATTTTCAGCAATCGGAATTCTGATTAAACCAGTAATAATAATCAAACAACTGAGATCAATACACCATGTTTTGTGTGTATGTTGATACGTACATACCTAAATCAAATTTGAACAAAATAATGATGAGGTCTTTGAGTTTTTGTTAATACATCTACTTACATTATAGAATAAAGACCTTTAAGACTTATTTAGTTTCCTCTGGAAGTTTGTTTAGGGCATCAGGTTGAGAACCACTGAAGAGGAAAGAAATAAAATGGAAAGAAATAAAGCATTCGGATTTTCTGATGACATTCAAATTGCTTTAAAGGTAATTTCTCATCTTTGCTAGATAATCTACCACATTTACAAAATGTTATCATAAAAAAACTGGATTAAAAAACACAAACAGTTCAAACTAACCCTAAATTTAAAAAGGAAAATAGAGAAAGAGAGTGAGAGAAGGTTGTAATAGCCAGTCACGTGGAAATAATCACTCATGCAGGATCACATTTGCACACTAAAAAGAAAGTTACATTTGTAAATTTCTCTATTACAGACTCAGGTGATGATTATTGAGAGGCCATCTGTGTTGTGTAACGTCTGGACATCCAAAAGGACATGTTTTGAAGGTTGCTAAAAATAGCCGTGGTGCTTGTGAAAGCTGAAATCCTCTTTAAGAGTGCGGTCACATTAGCAAGATTTCAGCACAATTTTGCTTGAAAAAAAAAAGTTAATTGACAAGAACAATGAGAAGTGTAAAGCCGAGATCACACAAAAGTCACTTTCAAACCACAGTGGCGAATCCTGCAATACTTTGAGGCATTTGGACAGCATTCCAAGAACCATATCTCTAGGACAATATTTATTACAGCACTGACTATCTAAAGGTGCTCTATAAAGAAAATCTAAGTATACTTTAGCATAAACAAATAATAAGTGACCAATGAAAATGGAAATTACATTCCTTATGTAAACTCAGAGTGGTAAACCTGTGAAAAAAGGCTTGTCAAAATGCAATCCAGACTATTGCATTGCACACTAGACTATTCATTAGCACGCCCTCAACATTTGCATGTACTTTAGGTCACTTTCTACATCAACCGGACTTTACGAGCAGAGTTTTACATGGGATCCTTGATATGTATGGAGATTGAAACCAGTAACTTCCTTATTTAAACTTCATCTATGTTTATATTAAACTTGATATGTATGTGAGAATCTTAATTTGTAAATATGAGACACAGTAAAGTCTAATACAGCTGCACCAGATTGTTTTCTGTGTATCGCTAAGCACTGATTTCAAACTACATTTTTTTTCAGCTGGTTAAAATGCAAAATGCAGGATATACAGATTGTAAATGTATTGATCACTACCTCAAAGAGGGATAATGTATGTTTACTTGTATCTTTTGTTAATTTATTATGTTTATTGTGGAGAATTTGCCATGTATGTTTGTTTTGAGCCAACAAACACGTGTAGAAAGCTAAGTCTTGTGTTTAATCCACATTTAAGAATCATGTCAATTACTTGGCTCTTACTGTGCCTTTTCTGAAGTGAATGAACAGCAATACACTTTAGCTGTTTATGTGCTGTTTATTAGTTTTTCATTTTACGTCAGTTTTATTAAACAATGTAACCACAGAATAGACATGGGCATGGGTATGAGATTTGGATGGTATGATATATGTGTGTGTGTGTATATATATATATATATATATATATATATATATATATATATATATATATATATATATATATATATATATATATATTTTTTTTTTTTTTAAATGTCTGGCTAAAAACCTATTTTGAGAAAACGTATACAATATTTTGGAACAGTAAACATGTCAGGCTAAATAACAAAAATGAGTCAGTGACTTCTGCTGACAGTAAACATATAAGGCTAAATAATAAAATAATAATCAGTGACTTCTGCTGTTTTCATTAGTTTTAAAAACAGATTATTTTGCGATTAAAATTATTATTATTTTTTTTGCTGGAGATACTGTTGTCCTAAAAAAAAAAAATGTAATAAAAAATCTTACACATATCTTAGAAAAGGTATAGCAGAAAAAAATGGCTTTTAATGAATCTTTTGGCTTATTCAAGGTGTTAAAATCTTGACATTTCCAAACTATACAGTATACCTTGAAAATGGTTATCATCCCATGCCTAATACAGAAGTCTCAAGCTTTAAATAGGAAAATTATTTCAACTTTTTTTTTTTTATTGAAATGCTATTGGTCAAAACAAATTCTTTTCACTTTGTTAAGCTAAGCTAAATGTAACCCAGCCATAAATCGATTCAAATTGCTAAATTGATTAAAAAATGGCTCGTCAACTGTTAAACTCTAGGAGACTAAGAAAAAAGCCTTTTTCAAAAGGAGTGTTCCTTTAAAGCTCTAATGAGTGGTGAAAAAAAAACTGTAGGTCTCTGCAGAAGCAATAAAAAGAAGAGTCATCATAATACATTGAGCCATCATAAAAACTAGTTTGCAGCAGACTAGTTTTTTTTTTTTTTTTACTGTTAAACTAATGTTTCACACATGGCTGACATGTTATTAACATGACGCTAGCATGTTAGTGGCATGTTTATAATGTTTCTAGCATGTATTACCATGCTATTATCCTATAGTATGCCAGAGTATAACACAAGAAGCTCTACAAGAGGTATTTTAGAAATTTGTGTTGCATCTCTACATGAACATTCGAAGGCAAAAGTTTCATTTGGTTTCTTTAAAAGCAACTTATATAGCATATTATTATGTTTTTTTCTTGAGCCATCATATTAAATCCACATACATGCCACAACATATTTATCTATTCATTTTCCTTCAACATAGTCTCTTTATTCATCAGGGGTTGCCACAGTGGAATGAGCTGCCAACTTATACTTGCGCATATGTTTTACAAAGTGGATAGCCTTCCAGCTGCAGCCCAGTACTGGGAAACATCTATAAACATTTTTTCACACTCATACACTACCACCAACTTAGTTTATTCAGTTCACCTATAGTGCATGTCTTTGGACTGTGGGGGAAACCGGGGCACCTGAAGGAAACCAAGGCGAACACAGGGAGAACATGCAAACAGCACACATACAAGCCAACTGACCTAGCCAGGACTCAAACCACTGACCTTCTTGCTATGAGGTGAAAATACTAACCACTAAGCCACCTTGTCACCTGCCATAACATAGTTAGCATATTGCTAACATTAATTAGCATATCTTTAACTTCTTTCAAGCAGATTTTAGCACATGGCTGACATTTCCGTAAATGAACACGATGCTAGCATGTTAGTGGCATGTTTATAATGTGTCTAGCAAGAATTAGCATGTTGCTTATATGTTTCAATTATGCTTGTAACATAGAGCTGAACGTCTAAAGTTTAAAATTTAGTTTTTTAGAAATCTGCACCCTATATCTGTCCTGAATAATTTCAGCAAACTTATTTGTGTGTCCAAAATCATATTATGTTGAAGTGTATATTCCAAAGTTAGCGCTGATAGAATGCTTGTCAACTTAGCAACTAAAACGTGTTAAAACAATGTAATATGTTCAGAAACTGAGCCTGGTTTCTCTCAAGATTTTTCTTTCTTCACTTTGGTCAATTACTGAAGTTTGTTCCTCGCCACTGTCACCACTCCCTGCTGAAAAATCCAGCTTAAACCAGCCTAGGCTGGTTGGCTGGTTTAAGCTGGTCGACCAGGCTGGTTTTAGAGGGGTTTTGGCCACTTCCAGGCTGGTTTCCAGCCATTTCCAGCCTGGTCTTAGCTGGTCAGGCTGGGAGATGACCAGCTAAAATCAGCTTGACCAGCCTAGCCAGGCTGAGAGCCCAGCCAAAACCAGCTATGTCCAGCTTAAACCAGGCTGGTCAAGCTGGTTTTAGCTGGATTAAGCTGGTCATTTTTCAGCCTGACCAGCTAAGACCAGGCTGTAAATGGCTGAAAACCAGCCTGGAAATGGCCAAAACCCCTCTAAAACCAGCCTGGTCGACCAGCTAAAACCAGCTAACTAGCCTTGCCTGGTTTAAGCTGTTTTTTTCAGTAGGGCTGGCTTGCTTGGTTGGTTGGGACTTTGGGAGCTGTGCGTTGGTACATTTACTCTTCAATGTTTGGACTTTTAGCAATGAAATTTAAACTGCACTGAACTGAAATAAACTGAACCTCAACTCTGAAAACTGGACTGACACTGTTTCAATTTACTAGAACTTCTATGTTAAGCTGCTTTGACACAATCGACATTGTAAAAGCTCTATAGAAATAAACATGAATTGAATTGAATAAAAAAAAATGGTTCTAGAACTATAAGCGCAGCCTCTGGTGTTGCAGCATTACACTTTGCTCTCACGCAAAACTACCAATCACACTGAAGTGAGTTTCACCTGCAAAATTGTGCCAAGCACCAGTAAATGTGACCGCACTCCATGTCTAACAATAAGACACACATTTAACATCTAATTACACTACAAGCCAAAAGACAAGGTGAGGTAATGCACACAAAAGGGTGGTCGATAGCCCTGTGCTCTGGCTGTGTCAGGTCAAGCAGGAGGTGCAGTGTCTGTGTGGGCCTCAGAGAGGTAAAGTGGCTTTCTTCAGCTCTGGACGCTCAGCCACACAGAGCAGTTCCTCTCAAAGCTGGTTTTGGTTAACAGGGGATGCATGAGTGTGCCGGGATTATTACAGGATCCGGTGGGAAACGCTGTCCTGAGCACTGCTGTCCGCTGTTGTGTGTTTGAGCAGATCCAGAGGCATCAGGGGAAGAGGCTGGTTTTGTTCACTCATTACTGCCTCGTATGGCGGTGCCTCGTCTAAAGGTAAAGCTGATAAAGAGATGGAGGCCACCGGCTGGTGCCTGAAGTTCTGTAGTCTGCTCGGGTAACGGGACGAGCCACTGGCGGACACCCAGGACGCACCAGCGGGGAGATCCTCCATGTATTGATCCCGACACGGGTCTGTGAGGGAGTAGGGTGGTGGATCGTCTGTAGGAACATATATCTGCGTCCCTTGTCCCACACACTCATCATAACTGAAAGAAAAAAATATATATATGTGTGATTAAATGTGATAATATACATTTGATGTCCAAAAAGATTTTAACAGTGCACTTAACAAACAGTATGCAACTGATACTACATTACATAGTGTATCTGGAAAGTATTCATAGCGCTTCACTTTTTCCACATATTTTTGTGTTATGTTATTCCAAAATGGCTTAAATTAATTAATTTCCTACACACAATACCCCATAATGACAATGTGAAAAAAGATTTTTTTTTAAATTGTTGCAAAATTATTAAAAATAAAAAACCTGAAAAATCACAAGTACATAAGTATTCACAGCCTTTACTCAATACTTTGTTGATGCACCTTTGGCAGCAATTACAGCCTCAAGTCTTTTTGAATGAGATGCCACAAGCTTGACACACCGGTCTTTGGGAAGATTTGCACATTCCTCTTTACAGTACCTCTCAAGCTCTATCAGGGTGGATGGGAAGCAACGATGTACAGTCATTTAGGTTTAGGGTTTAGGTCTGGGCTCTGGCTGGGCCACTCAAAGACACTCAGGCCCCGTTTACACTAATGCGTTTTAGTTTGAAAACGCACAAGTTTTGCTACGGTTACGCCATCCGTCCACACTACGCCGGAGTTCTCGAGCGCCGAAAACGGAGCGTTTCGAAAACGCTGGAGAGGCCGTTTTCATTCTGAAACGCTGCAGCTCCATCTCAGTGTGGATGGGGAAAGACGGAGACATCTGAAAACGGAGGCGGGGCTGCAGACATTCACCTCTCTGATTGGGGCTTTTCCTCAATATTAAGTAGCCTAACACACAGTTCAGTCCTGAATCTTCTCCGTGTAAGTTCAGACTTCGCAAGTTTGATCAAGGCTGCATCTCTTCTTCTCAGTTTGATATGGAAAACATACCGAGGACACGCGTCAATCTTCACAGGGAACAGTGTACTTTATAACTTCATTCACATCACCCTGGCTACGTTGTTTCACTTTCTCAACAATAAAATGTAAACTTGATATAAGGAACTGCCTATTTTTATTTTAATATTAACAACTAAACAGACAGCAGAAATGTTGAGGCGTCGTGCTGCATGAGCGTCATCTTCACTGTGTGGATATTTATAACAAAACGGAGCCGATAACAACTGCCTCCTTTCAATTTCAGTGAAAATACGAAACACACCCTCTCTTTTGCTGAATATCAGTTTTAATAATCGATAATGGCCATTATAAAAGTATAACATACAATAAGTTTTTACATTATAGGAAATAAAGGCAAGCGATCAGTCAATATACAGAATGTAGGCTACGTGCTTACATTAATCATTAACTTATCTTTGCGCTCAGCCAAAACACGTTACCTGAGAACAAGTAAAAGATTCCAATGACCAAAGTCAGGGAATATGTCGTTAGATAAAGACAACAAGATGAATGAAATATCACGTTTAATAAATATAGTGAGATTAGATCCAGCGGGAGATGCTTGATGAGAAGTCCGACTAGCAGAGCTCTCATCTGGGTAGAAATGCTGGAGCGCTTGCCAAAGTGTGTGTGTGTGGTCACGTGATGTGCGTTTTCAGCGTTTTGGTGTGGACGGAGAGCAGTTCAGAAACGCTGGGTAAAACGCGAGTGTGGACGCGGATCGTTTTCATCCTAAAACGCCGTTTTAAAACTAAAACGCACTAGTGTAAACGGGGCCTCAGAGTTGTTGTGAAGGCACTACATTGATATTTCGGCAGTGTGCTTTGGGTCATTGTCCTACTGGAAAATGATCTGTCACCCAAGTCTGAGGTCAAGAGCACCCTGAAGCAGGTTTCCATTCAGGGTCATCTTTCCCTCTATCTTGACTAGTCTTCCAGGGATGGTATTAGCCTGGTTATAAGCGGTGCCTGGTTTTGTCCAAACATGACTCCTGACATTCACTCCAAAGAGTTAAATTTTAGTCTCATCAGAGCAGAGAATTTAGTTTCCTATGGTCTGAGAGTCCTTCAGATGCCTCTTGGCAAATTCTAGGCGAGGAGTGGCTTCCGTCTGGCCACTCTACCATACAGGCCTGATTGGTGGATTGCTACACAGATGGTTGTCCTTCTGTACGGTTCTCCTCTCTCCACAGAAAATGCTGGAGCTCAGACTGAGTGATCATCGGGTTATTGATCACCTCCCTGACTAAGGGCCTTCTTCCCCGATCACTCAGCTTAGATGGCTAGACAGCTCAATTAAGAGTCCTGGTGGTTCCAAACATCTTCCACATACGGATGATGGCGGCCACTGTGCTCATTGGAACTTTCAGAGCAGCAGAAATTTTTCTGTAAGCTTCCCCATCATTGTGCCTCGAGACAATCCTGTCTTGGAGATCTACAGACAATTCCTTTGTCTCCACGCTTGGTTTGTGCTTTGACATGCACTGTCAACCTTGAGACCTTATACAGACAGGTGTATGCCTTTTCAAATCAGGTCCAATTAACTGAATTTACCACTGGTGAACCCCAATTAAGCTGCTGAAACATCTCAAGAATGATCAGTGGAAACAGAATGTACCTATGCTCAATTTAGAGCTTCACGGCAGCTTTTTTATTTTAAATACATTTGCAACAATTTAGAAATATCTTTTTTTACATCGTCATTATGGGGTTTTGAGTGTAGAATTTTGAGGAAATATATGAGTTTAATCCATTTTGGAATAAGACTGTAACATAAATAAATGTGGAAAAAGTGAAGCGCTATCAGTACTCTCCTGATGCACTGTAGACTGTACACTGTTATTGTATGGAATGTGCTGTTTTTGCATAAAAATACACTTACTTCAGTGATTTATATATAAAGAATATTAAGTTTAACTAAAATGTCTTCTTTAATGTTTCATAAAAGTTATGTGAAGCAGTCAAGTAGACAATTTAATTAAAGTAAAATGTTATAATGTAATGTAATAATGTAAAATGTGACCTGTATTCACTGCTGACAAAAGGGTAAAACCCATTTTGTTACAGCAATGGTCTCAAAATCGAAGTGTAGAATCGTCCATACTCTAACTGCTGATAATTCCCACAGTACGTTGCACATTAGACGTGAATTCGATTAGAGCTACAAAAGCAGCTGAAAAGTGTAATTAAACTACAAACATGGTGGACGCGTGAGACCAACAGTCAAGTAGAGATGCTTTGGTAAAGATGTACTTAAACTTATTTATATATATATATATATATATATATATATATATATATATATATATATATATATATATATATATAGACGTGTTTGGACATTAACATTTGAATGCATAATTATCCAAAGACCTGAAGAGATTTCTCTGCATAAAAGACTCACGAATGGCAGATTATCCTGCGGCTGCTTCTCCAATAAGGTAGGTAATTAATTATGAAAGAAATGTGGATGATTGACAGGGCTCATAACTAAGCAACATAATGTTCAGATAAAAAGGAAGTAGTGTGTCCCAAAACTTGAATACTCTTCTGTTACACACTCAAAAAATTTTCTTCACAATAAAAAAGTACATACTTTAAGAGCGTAGTATAAGTATGCGAATTGGAACGCAATACATAGTAGTCTGGAACACCTTTATTAGTTGGATCAGCTATTTGATTAGGGTAGGAGGAAAACTGTGCTGAGCTGTGGCCATCCGGGAATAGAGTTTGAGACCTATGTGTTACACTAAATAACAAACTGACAATTTTATATACTATACATCATGGAAAGTACATGATAATCATTATTAATGATATTAACTGTTAAACAGAAGACATTAAAATTTCTTGGAGAATTATACAGAGTATATGGATATATACTGGTCGATGAAAATCCTTGTGGTCTGACCTATACACTTGATTGGATACATTTTCTAACCACTAGAGGGCAGAGCTTTTCAAACTTTTTTCATGCCAGGAAACCAATATATGATTTATTGACATTATAGAATTACTAAAAATAAAAATATTGTATAATATATAATGAATACAATTTTTTTCTTTTATACGGTATTATAATAAAACAACAAAAATAATGTAATATAATATGAAAAACATTTTTTTTTCTAAATATGAACTTACTGCTGGATTGTATTGAATTGATCACTTTACTGTTAACCTGGGCAGTCATCAGAACACATTAATGTTATTGATTTCTCAGGATAGGTCAGGCTATACTACATAATCCTTTTAGGAATTTCCTTCTTGGACTCGGCAGTATACATCTACAGCACATTTAAACATGACATGAAAATAATCGATACGTTAATATGTATTTCATATATAACAGTGTTAAATTATACACTTCCCCCCTGTGGATCCCCAACCCCTCTCTTGCAACCCTTTTACCCAATAAAAAATGCAGGGTTTCACACAATCGATTTGTGTTGGGACAACAAGAAGGAATTAAGTTCACTTATTAGTTTTAGCAAATTTAATTCAATCGGTCTCTATACATGTTTACAAATACATAAACTAAATATGAACAATAAATAATAATTAAAAATGTATATAAAACTGTATATACAAAATGATTAAATATTATAACAAATGTCAGTTTATTAATACTGATTAATAATAATTATTATATAATTGATATAATAAATGTTCATAAAAACATTGAACTCATAAATGTATTAAAAAATATCATTATTTCAAACAATTTCACACCTTTGAACAAATAAACTACAAACACCACAAGATATTCATCATTTGAATCTTTTTGGTTAGAGCCTTCCGGTCTTATTCACTTCCATTCATTTTTCGACACTATAAACACCATGTTATGCAGCTTGATGTTGTAAACGGATATTTTCTTATATCATTCTATTTAGTCTGTATGGTCATGCAAACATATTTATTATTCTTATAGTCATTTCTCCCATAGACAACTGAATCGGAAATTCTAAAACAAATTGCAAAAATGAGCCAAAATGAAAATTAAGGTCAATAGGACATCATGAAAAGTTTCTAAAATGTGTATTTGACAGTCTAGATGTATATATAGTGACTATATTTGTCTTATGTTGTTATA